AAAAAGTGTGTCTAATACTAAAACTTCTTCCTACTGGAATGCTATCTGATGACCAACATCTGATGTAGTTTCTGGGATCTGTTGGAGCCACTCTCCTAGCTTGGGAGTCACAGCCCCGAGTGCTCCTACCACCACTGGGACCACTTTGGCCTTTACTTTCCACATCCTCACTAGTTCCTCCTTCAGGCCCTGGTACTTCTCCAATGTCTCATACTCCTTCCTGATGTTGATGTCACTTGGCCACTACATCTATCACCTGGGCACAGCCTGGATTGACTACAGGAAAGCCTATGACTCAATGCCATGGATTTGCGAATCCCTGATACTATACAAAAGTCAACAGGACACTAAGGAGCTTCCTCAAGAACTCAATGGGACTGCGGAAGACAACACTGGAAGTCAACTCAAGACAGCTCACACAAGTGTCCATCAAGTACGACATATAGCAAGGTGATGTCCCCGCCTCTGTTCTACATAGGCTTGAACCTCCTCAACCAGATAATCACAAGGACTGGATACAGATTCAAGTTCAAGAGTGGAACTACCACCAGCCATCTCCTCTACATGGATGACATCAAGCTGTATGCTATGAGTTAATAAGACATCGACTCACTGATCCACCTGACGCAAATCTACAGTGAGGACACTGGGATGTCATTTGGACTGGAGAAGTATGGCCGGATGGTAGTAAAGCGAGGGAAGGTAGTTAAGACTGATGGGATGGAACTACCAGTGGGCCACATAACAGACATATATATTCTTGTCTCGTCCATGTATGGTTTGTTCCAGTAGCTCACCTAGTGTCAGATTGTCCTGGTTCCCCAAGATCTGGCTCGGACCTTTTAATCCAGGCGATGTCCGAGCCAGCATGACTCTCTCTGTTTGTGTCACTCTCATATTCGAGATAGGCAGGTGAAGCAACAGGGGGTCTTTGCCCAAGGACCCCTACTGGTATAGTAGGTACCAGCCAAAGGCCAAAGTGGTCCCAGTGGTGGTAGGAGCACTCAGGCTGTGACTCCCAAGTTGGGAGAGTGACTCCAACAGATCCCAGGAACAACATCAGAGCCAGAAGAGTGCAGTGCTAGGAACAGCTAAGATATTGTGCAGAACCCTCAAACCTGAAGGCTGCTGGTACAGGACCTGAGATTGGAAAACCTATCTATCTATCTATCTATCTATCTATCTATCTATCTATCTATCTATCTATCTATCTATCTA